GGTTAGTCCATTGATTCTTGTAAAAGTTTCCCGTACATCTAGCATTTTTGTATACTTAGTCTGTATTGATCTGTATTGATGGCTTCCACCACTTCTACTTCACCCACAAGATCCCGTTACAAATTGTTGCTCCTCTTGCTTGTCATTGACCGTCTCAGCCTCGTGGCAGAGAACTGTTCAGTTGTGGTGGGAGTTGGTTCAAGGCGGGACAGATAGCTAATTGTCCTGCACCGATTGAGGTCGGGAAGAGGAGGGGTCAGCGGCAGGATGAGAGCGGCGGCAGGGTGGGCGAGAGCGAGCAAGAAGGAGAGGAAGAAAAAACCGAGCCGGCCCATCGCCCACTTCTCGAGAAAGTCACAACCGAGTGTCGAAAATCCGGCGACACACGAGTTATTTTGTAGTTAAAAACAAAGTAACATTCATCATTTAGATATTGCGTTTTTTAGTAAATGGCATTTTTATTAAACTCGATAATAGTATCAAAGAGATACGACACGTAATGAGTGTATGAGTAACCTCTGCATGACTCTACATGCGACAATCAACACCAACTTGCATATAGTGAAACAAACGCATTGCTAAACAACATCATTGCATACAATTAAAAAAACTGCTCCATGCTTCGGTTCCATCCTTGTTACTTTTACCATTGCTAAAAAAACTTGTTTTCCTTTTCTTCTTCTTCTTTCCTTGATCTTCGGTCCTCATCTTTGTCACTTTTACCATATCTCCCTGCTTTTCTAATCAGTTTTGCTAAAGCACATCTAGATATGCTCTAAATATTGCACATCTATATCACGTGTCATTGATTTTACGCTAAGATTCGTGCAAGCATTTTCTTTTGTCTTTTTTTCTTTCTTTCTAGTTTCATCGAGTCACTTAGATGTGCAATAACTATAACACATTCAGATGTGCTTTAAAAAAACATCATTGCATACAATTAAAAAAAACCTCATCACATTTATTTTTCTTGAAAACAGAGTTAGTCATCTGCATCACATGATGCACACAGTCAAATTGTTTTTTTAAACAAGGCAAAAGATTTGCCATTTTATTGATTAAGGAAGAAGGTTTAGACAATACCACAAAGCGGCAAGAAAATAAAGGCCTACTCTCGCGCCATTACAATACTCAAGTGCTTGGCGCCCGCCAAAGCCCAAAGAGACAACTCCTCTTTAATCTTGCTAACAAGGACCACTAAAGGAGCGGCCGTGTTGTGGAAAATTCTAGCATTGCGCTCCGATCAAATCTCCCAGGAGATGAGCATCATCAGTGAAGCAAGCGCCTTGGGGGATTCGCTACGGATATGAATGTTTCCTGTCCACCATTCCCTCACCGAGACCCTCTTCGTCCAAGCAGCGGTATTGATGCGATGCAAGCCGAGCCACTAGATAATATCATTCCACACACAAAGGGTGAAACGACATTGGAACAGTAGGTCGGCCGCCGATTCCTTACTTTGCTTGTAAAGGGGGCAAAGACCGCAGTTGGGCCATCCACGACGAAGAAGGCGATCTGATGTCCAAATCCTGTTTTGAAGGGCAAGCCAAGCAAAAAATTTGCACCGCGGAGGAGCCCACACCTTCCACACCGACTGAACCATGTCCGACGTAGTAAGGCCTTCAAATTGCGCCTTATAAGCCGAGGAGCCAGAGTACAAACCATCCTTGGTCTTCCAGATAATGGAATCCTCCATATCCTCAGCAAGTGTGACCTGAGCAACATTTTCCCAAAGATTGGCAAACTGTTGAACATGGTTGATGGTTAGGCCATTGGAGATGTCGATGTGAGAGATCCAAGTGTTGTTTGTTAAAGCTTGTTGGACCGAGCAGTTTTTCTTTTCGGATAGCTCAAAGATGTGAGGTGCAATATCACGCGGGCGCAAACCATTCAGCCAAGAGGAGTTCCAAAATCTGGTCGTACGCCCATTGCCAACCGTGACTGTAGTGGCAGCCGCAAACAAATCTTTGTCCTTGTCCGTACATGGCGTGCCCATACCAATCCATGGTTTTGTGGGCTCTTTCCATTCAAACCAGAGCTAACGAAGCCTAAGAGCTTTGGAAATTTTGTCCAAATTGAGCACACCCAGGCCACCATGTTTCTTAGGCTTGCAAACAAGGTCCCAATTAACTTTGCATTTCCCACCGGAAACCTTGTCGGCTCCTGCCCAAAGATAGGCGCGACGAATACGGTCAATCTTCTTGAGAACCTCCACCGGGATATCAAGAGGCGTAATATGGTAAATGGCAATGGCAGTGAGGAAAACTTTGACTAGAACAACCCGGCCAACAGTAGCAACATGTCTTCCCTGCCAAGGAGGGAGCTTGCCCGCGATTCTATCCTCAAGGTGTTGAAAATGGATCCTCTTGAGACACTTGACGGACAGTGGGAGTCCAAAGTATCTCATCGGAAACGAAGAACGGACAACCGGGAAAGCAAGTAGAATATCATCAAGGTCAACGTTTTCGCATCGAATAGGGGACACGAGGCTTTTGGCACAATTGGTGACTAAACCGGTAATATCTCCAAAGGAGGCCAGAGAGGAAGCAAGGAATTGAACATCCTCTTTGATGGGCTTGATAAAGATGGCAGCATCGTCCGCATAGAGCGAAGCACGGATTGTCATGGCTCTACGACAGAGAGGATGGAGGTGCCCTTGGGTCGTGGCTTTGTTGAGAAGATGGTGTAGAGGATCAATCGCCAAAACGAACAGCAGGGGTGACAGTGGATTGCCTTGCCTGAGGCCACGACCATGCTTCAACAGATCACCCAACACACCATTGATCAAAACCCTCGACGAAGCCGTGGAAAGGAGGGCTGAAACCCGGTCGCGAAATTTGCTTGGGAAGCCCAGATGCCTTAAAAGATCCAAAAGGAAATCCCATCTCACAAAGTCGAAAGCTTTCTTGATATCGAGCTTGAAGAGCAAAGTCGGGGTCTTGTTGCGATGCAACTTTCTCGCCAAGCCTCTCACATACATGAAATTAACATGTATGCTCCTCTTCTTGATAAAAGCGCTTTGAGCATTTGAGACAAGACTTTGCATGTGCGGTGCGAGACGTGAGGCCATCATCTTAGCTATAATCTTCGCAATTGCATGGATAAGACTAATGGGACGGAAATCGAAGATGTACTCCGCCCCATCTTTCTTAGGAATGAGGGCAATGTTCGCTGAGTTGAGCCAATGGATGTTGGAGGTGTGCAAGCTCGAGAAGTGGTTGACCGCATTCATAATGTCTCCTTTGATGATCTCCCAACATTCCTTGAAGAAGGCACCGGTGAAGCCGTCCAGTCCCGGAGCTTTGTCACTTGGTAGATCGAAGATTGCCTTCTTGACCTCCTCCTCCGAGAAGGCAGCCCCAAGGTCTGAGAGATCGCAAGCAGGGACAGGAATATTATCCTAATTGATGTCAATGGTACGAGGCACACCCCTCTTGGCGACTTCCCTGAAGTGGTTTTGAATGATGGACTTCTTGTGCTCATGGTCGGTGACCCAACCATTATTGTGCTTAAGACGGTGGATGAAATTCTTTCGCCTTCTATGATTGACCCGGAGGTGAAAGAAGAAAGTGTTGGCATCTTCATCTTTGAGGCCTGTTTGGTAATCCACCAGCTCCACGAATCTGGCGGAGCACCTATTCCACCACTCTGAAAATTTGAACTGCAGCCTGCTCCGCTCCGTGGCAGAGTTGTGGAGCGGAGGGCCTCTGAACGGGCACTAAGTCATCGAGTACTCAATAATACAAATAAAAGAAAAACACGGTCACAAACAGACGAACACAACCCTACTACACCCAATATTACATATTATCCACATGATCTACTAGTGATCATCAACCAAACTGATTGAATAAACCATGCACAATCGTTTCGAGCCAACTACACCCAGAGGCCATAAGCGTCTGCGTCCAATACGGACCAATATCCGAGGCCCAATTCTTCTGAGCGAACACGGTGCATGGAACCCCGTCCGGCAGCTTCTGCCCACCCGTCGTCACCTTGCACTGCATCCACGTCGGTCTGGCCGAGCCGTCGTCGCCCCGGAACAGCCGCACATCGACCTCGAGCTCCACCGAGCCGGCGCGCCGCTCCGCCGCCATCTTGTCTCTGAGCAACGTAGGCAGCTCGACGCCGTCGTCGGCCCACGCCACGACGGTCACGTCCCGTGCATCCATCGCGCCCACGCAGAAGCGCGGCGTGCGGCCCCACGCGACGGTGAGGCCGGAGTAGAGCACGACCGCCTCGCCGTGGCGGTAGCACCTGTCACCGGGGCGCCGGTTGACGGCGTGCAGTGTGATGTTGAAGGCGGTACTACTGGAGATGGGGTCGGCTGGAACCGCCGTCCGGGGAGCTTCGGGACTCCTGGCCTCGGTGACCTGAACGGAGAATTTGGGAGGCAGGCCGTTCAAGCGGAAAAAGGCGCAACCGATGGGTATCCAGAAGAAGAGGGGCATCCAGATGACAGCAACCGCTGCCTTATTTAGATCCTCACGAAGGGAGTAGAGATTTCGAGACTTCATGGCGCAGTTTATGCCCAAGGCTTCTCGGTGATGCATGACCTATTTTGCTTCTGTTTTGCGAATATGTAGGCTGACCTAGCTAGATAGTCCTGTTGGGAACCGTCACCTGACCAGCTGGTACGTCTCTCTACGTTTTTTCTGTTCCAAAACAGTATCTCTTGTGCTATTTGTGCCACGGTTGTTACTCGATCGATACGTGGACTCTAATCCGTGTGTGAGGTTTTACAAAGGGAAGTGGTAGTTGCACTCAAATAACGGCTGGGAAAATCCAAGTCGGATGCCATGGACCATCATCGCCTGACACCTCCGCCGCCGTGTTGTACAATGGCAACGACACCACTATCTGGTCTCTCATGCACTGGACGGATCTTACACCGCCCTGCTCGTCGCTGACGTCCAGAACATGGAGCTCCGGTGATGGACGGCTTTCATCATCCTGGCCGAGCATCATTACAAGAGTTGCCATCGCGCGCCTTCTTCTACGGGTCTCAAATTGACACAAAGAGGCAGGGAGATGTGAAGTTCGGTCTGTTTAGAGGTCAATCGATTGGGATCCTTCTCAATCTCTTGTGACTATATAAGCTTTGCCGGCTCCAATTCCAACTCCAGCTCCAACACCGTCGCGTGTTTCATAAGCAGACAAGCAGCTTAACTGAGAAGCGGAACAAATAAACGAGTGAAATGACACACGTGACCACCGTAAAAAAGTCATCTTTGGTTGCATGCCATAAGAATCCATGCCCCCCCTTGTGTTTCAGCATCACAAATCTCAACAAAAGTTTCCGCTCCCCAAATACAGCACAAGATGATTGTTCAGGAACTTGAGAAGTCACTAGATTGTTCAGAAGTCACTATTGAGAATGGTATCCTGCCCGATTTACATGAACGTTAAAAAGACACCTGTTTAAGACACCACAGCTGAGCATGCACACAGTTTGTAAGAAAAATTGTAACCTAAAATTTAATGGTATCAGAATAGCAAGGAGTACAATTTTAAGAGAGAACATGAGCTCCTCTAGTAAGTAGTGACTGTCCTAAACCTCTCCTTGTCAACTTCAGTCCATAAAAGCGAGCTGGTCAAACACTTGATATTGTAGGAACACCATTAGATACGCTTGACTATAGAAAAACATGATAAAGCTGAGAAGTATTGTGCAGAAAATAATTAATCATTAGAAAGGGATGTAGTGTTTTCTGTAATTAATTTTCTTCGGCCACTTAAAATAATGTGATTGTTCCCAGAACAAAACAGCCCAAGCAACCTGTGACTGTGCCACCAAAAGGTTTTCAGAAAAATGTCAAGTATGCTCGTAATTTTGCTAACTCCTTGCACAAAGTTTATTTGTATTACCAAGTTGCTACTGCAGCTCCTTGTGCTTTCATATATAAAAGTCAATGTATATAAACAGAGTATGCAGAGGAAGAATGTGCAACCGGATGCACCAAACAAGGTGTGCGGGGAAGAATCCTCTGCCAGAGTGATCCCAGCTAATCGACGGCGTTTTGTCCAGAATCCTGGCGGGGAAGGGATTAACAACGGAGCCATATCCTAAATAGGTGGGTAAAAAAGAATTAAAATTAAGACAGGACTCCAATTTCAGAAAAGTAATAACACCAGACTCAACTGTTAACTGCATTTCTTGTAAAAAAATCATACTCACCAATGTAAGTTACAAGTCATATGGCACCGAAAGCAAACCCCTGGGAACATAAATTAATGCTTTTCAAATAACTCTCCTGTCCAATATGGTGTGTATGGAAAGGAATCTCCTACACATTGTACGTGTAACATGCCCAAGTCTTGAACTTTCGAGCTACTCAAATGATAGGCAACTACTCTTGCTCTTGATACCCACAAGAAGGCAATCTCATAATACGGATGAAATCCAAGGAAATAAATACTATCAGACACAAAGTCACATTCATCCCCATCTCTTGCCTCAAGGATAATACCATTGTTGAAGTCCCATTCACATTTATCATCCACGATCACTTTTTTACCATCTCCATCATAATTACCACCATGTAAGATCCACGGACCGGAATTTTCTTCATGAGACAACCAAGAAAACATTGCCACCACTGGCACAAGGCTGGTGTCAATCTTCAACCCCCACTCCATTTTACCCCTCAATTCACTAAGTAACCAAACCTGAAGTCGGTATGATCTATCTTTATAAATTAAAGCACAGTACAGCCCCCTCTTCGATTTCCCTATATAAAAATCTGTAAACTCATCCATGCTTGTAGGCGGTTTAATAACTTCATACTCGCCATTCGACAAGGTTATGCTGCAAATGTGAAGTCAATTGAGAGAAAACGCATGTTAATTGATAGGACGATGAGTTTCAGCTTAGAAAATGGGCAAAATCAAAACCCAATAACAAATGTCATTGTTTGCTTAAGGGGTGAATGAGTACCGCATAATGGAGTCATTTTGGCAGTGCACATAAAGCTCTCCTTTCCAGTAGACGGCATAGCGATGCTCTGGTTCCCTAGCCCTAGGTGAGTGCATCTCAGCAATGGCCCCTGCGGCCTCCCCTCTCCGGACCAACACCCTCTCCTCCCATGTCCATGTCCTTGAAGAGAAGGCTCTTATTGTATACGAAGAAGGCGGCCACTCTGATTCCTCCGTGAATACTGTCATGGAACCCAGCTTGTGAGGAACTTCGGGAAGAAGAAGTACCTCGTAATGGGGCGACACAGTGGGGTCGAAAGCAAGGCACATGTCGTCGGCGAAATCCTCCAACCCGGCGCAGGGGGCTGAGGCAGACGCACCCATTGTCGAGTTGCTGGATTGACCACCAGTTGATCCCAAAGCAAGAGAAGGCCATTGCAATGATCCATAATATGCAAATAACCCTCAAATTTGGTGTCCAGGTAGTCGAGCCTGGCTGCGATCTTGCCATCTATCGACGGGCTCGCGAAGAATTTCGGGAGGGCCGGAAAGATCTCCTCCATGAAGAAGATCCCGGAGAGGGATAGCGGTAGGAGATCCGTCCGCAGCAGGCGCCAGTCGTCGACGACGGCACGCCAGCTTTTGCAGACACAGCGAGATGCGGCGAGGCTGCGCGGCGCGAGATGCCGGAGGACGCTGGCGAGGACGCCATCAGGTAGCAGCTGTGCCGCCACCAGGGCCATGGTCCATGGATGCCGATGAACTAATTCATTTCGAAAACAGAGAGGGCGCTAGCTGATGGTGACGGATCGATCGAGGGGCTGGCTCTTGGTGGGATGTGTGTAGCTGAGACGGGATTCGATTAGGTTTTGCAATCGACTCTAGTTGCGCGGTGTGCGGCTGACTGACCGTGCCTGCCGTAAATCGTTAGGATCTCCGCATGCATAAGGACGTTTAGTGTTTTTTTTTAATTTAGTAAAATGCATTATGCGTCATTAAACTTGCTCTTTTAGGATTAAAAAAAATTAGTGAAAAAAAAACTTGTTGACGATAGTCACTTTGGTCGCTTTACATACAGAAATTGATGGTTCCAGTAACTGTACTTGATGTCAGAGCGTTCACTTCCACCATGTCGTCCCTCTTGTGGCGGCCAAGGGGCTGAAAACCTACCCCGGCCGCCAACCCTCTACAAATCGGCCTTGCTGCTGCCGCCGTCGCCGGCTTCGGCCACGGTGGTGGCCAGCCCGCTCCCAAAGGGACGGGGGTCATTTGGCCGTTTCCGCGTACGACCAAGATTAGGAAGATGGGTGGCAATCCTGGTGCGATCTGCGTTGGCGGCGGCCGGCCGTGGCCATGAGACTGGTGTGGTGATTGGATGTGGTGATGGGGCCCCTGCATCTCGGCGTCTTCTTCCCGTGGTGGACGGATTTGGGAGCTCTGATGATGACTCGTCCTCGCCGCCCCTGACGACACCCCGGCCTCACGGTCGCGCCGTTGTGGAGATTGGTGAGGAAGGGGCGCCAGCGAGCTATAGCTCGGTGTGGTTGCGCCGCGCTCGCTCCAGGCATGTGCGTTCCCAGGTGGCCTGCAGTGGGACACGATGTGCTTCTGCTGCAGGCATGGTGCTTGGAGTAATGCCCGGTGCTATTCTCGATGTTTATCTACGTGGTGCAAGGCGCATTCGAGGGTGGACTGAGGGGGGCTGCCGATCCAAACCCCGGTGGTTGGATGGGTGCTGGGCGTGGTGGGTGGGCTAGCCGGACCCGAGTGTTGGGTAAGGTGAAGCTGCTAGCGAAAGTTGGTGCTTCGACTCTGGTAGGTACTGTCCACGGCAACGCCATGGGCGCCGCTACCTTGCTGAAGGCGTCATGAGGAGCAATTCCGCCTCCCCTTCCTAATGCTTGGGGGAAACCCTTGATCCGGGTCTTCCCGGATCGGACAATGGCGGCACTGATGGAAATATGCCCTAGAGGCAATAATAAAATGATTATTATTATATTTCCTAAATCATGATAAAGTTTTATTATTCATGTTAGAATTGTATTGATCGGAAACTTAAATACATGTGTGAATACATAAACAAATGTCGTGTCCCTAGTAAGCCTCTACTAGACTAGCTCGTTGATCAAAGATGGTTAAGGTTTCCTAACCATATACATGAGTTGTCATTTGATAACGGGATCACATCATTAGGAGAATGATGTGATGGACAAGACTCATCCATTAGCTTAGCATAAAGATCATTTAGTTTATTGCTATTGCTTTCTTCATGTCAAATACTTATTCCTTCAACTATGAGATTATGCAACTCCCGGATATCGGAGGAATACCTTGTGTGCTATCAAACGTCACAACATAATTGGGTGATCATAAAGATGCTCTACAGGTATCTCTGAAGGTGTTTGTTGAGTTGGCATAGATCGAGATTATGATTTGTCACTCCGAGTATTGGAGAGGTATCTCTGGGCCCTCTCGGTAATACACATCATAAGCTTGCAAGCAAATGACTAAGGCGTTAGTCATGAGGTGATGTATTACGGAACGAGTAAAGAGACTTGTCGGTAACAAGATTGAACTAGGTATGAAGATACCAACGATCGAATCTCGGGCAAGTAACATACCGATGGATAAAGGGAATTACGTATGTTGTCATAACGGTTCGATTGATAAAGATCTTTGTAGAATATGTAGGAGCCAATATGGGCATCCAGGTTCCGCTATTGATTATTGACTGGAGAGGTGTCTCGGTCATGTCTACATAGTTCTCGAACCCGTAGTGTCCGCACGCTTAACGTTCGTTGACGATATAGTGTTATACGAGTTATATGTTTTTGGTGAACGAATGTTGTTCGGAGTCCCGGATGAGATCACGGACATAACAAGGAGTCTCTAAATGGTCGAGAGGTAAAGATTGATATATAGGACGATGGTATTTGGACAGTGAAAGTGTTTCGGGACGTAATAGGAAGGAATCGGGTCACCGGAAGGGGTTCCGGGCACACCTCTCCCCCCGGCAAGATATGGGCCTTATGGACCAAAGGAGGGGGCTGGTGCGCCCCCTCCCTTGTTTGTCCAGCCCTAGGGAAGGAAAGGGGGGCTAGCCCCTCTTGCCTTTCCCTCTCATGGGAGAAAGGAAAAGGGGGGAGGGCACCTTCCCCTGCCTTACCCGCACTCCAAATAAGGAAAGGGGGCGCGGCTTGGGAGGACCCCAAATAGGATTCCTCCTACTTGGACGCCTCTTTTGGCTGCTCCTCCCTCCCTCCCACCTATATATATGTGGGAGGGGGCGCCTAGCACACAACAGATAATTGCCTAGCCGTGTGCGACGCCCCCCTCCACCGTTTACACCCCCGGTCATATTTTCGTAGTGCTTAGGCGAAGCCCTGCGCAGATCACTTCACCATCACCATGACCACGCCGTCGTGCTAACGTAACTCATCTACTACCTCGACGTCTTGCTAGATCAAGAAGGCGAGGGACGTCACCGAGCTGAACGTGTGTAGAACGCGGAGGTGCCGTGCGTTCGATACTTGATCTGTTGAAGCGCGAAGAAGTTCAACTACATCAACCGCGTTGTGAAACGCTTCCGCTTACGGTCTAAGAGGGTACGTAGACACACTCTCACCCTCGTTGATATGCATCACCATGGATAGATCATTGCGTGTGCATAGATTTTTTTTTGTTTCCCATGCAACGATTCCCAGCAGTGGCATCATGAGCCAGGTCTATGCGTAGATGATATGCACGAGTAGAACACAAAGAGTTGTGGGCGGTGATAGTCATACTGCTTACCACCAGCATCTTATTTTGATTCGACGGTATTGTGGGATGAAGCGGCCTAGACCAGTTCCACCCACTTACATGCAACTAGTTTTGCATAAAGGTAGCTGGCGGGTGTCTGTTTCTCCTACTTTAGCTGAATCGAATTTGACTACGGTTGGTCCTCGAAGAAGGTTAAAACAACAAACTTGACGAATCACCGTTGTGGTTTTGCCGTAGGTAAGAACGGTTCTTGCTAGAAACCCATAGCAGCCACGTAAAAGTTGCAACAACAAAGTAGAGGACGTCTAACTTGTTATTGCAGGGTATGTTGTGATGTGATATGGTCAAGACATGATGTGATATACGTTATTGTAGAGATGATCATGTTTTGTAAGTTATCGACAACCGACAGGAGCCTTATGGTTGTCTCTTATTGTATGAAATGCAAACGCCATGTAATTGCTTTACTTTATCACTATGCATTAGCGATAGTTGTAGAAGCAATTGATGGGGAATGTAGTAATTTCAAAAAAAAAATCCTTCGCACACGCAAGATCATGGTGATGCATAGCAACAAAAGGGGAGAGTGTTGTCTACGTACCCTCGTAGACCGAAAGCGGAAGCGCTATGACAACGCGGTTGATGTAGTCGTATGTCTTCACGATCCGACCGATCCAAGTACCGAACGTACGGCACCTCCGAGTTCTACACACGTTCAGCTCGGCGATGTCCCACGAACTCACGATCCAGCAGAGCTTTGCGGGAGAGTTCCGTCAGCATGACGGCGTGATGACGATGTTGATGATGCTACCGACACAGGGCTTCGCCTAAGCACCACTACGATAATACCGAGGTGGATTATGGTGGAGGGGGGCACCGCACACGGCTAAGAGAGATCAATGATCAACTTGTGTGTCCATGGGGTGCACCCCTCCCCGTATATAAAGGAGTGGAGGAGGAGAGGGCCCGGCCTCTCTATGGCGCGCCCTGGGAGTCTTACTCCCACCGGGAGTAGGATTCCCCCCTTCCAAGTAGTAGGAGTAGGAGAGAAGGAAAGGGAAAATAGAAGAGAAGGAAGGAGGGGGCGCTGACCCTCCCCCTAGTCCAATTCAGACTAGGCCTTGGGAGGGCGCACAACCTCCCCTCTCTTTTTCCCTAAAGCCCAATAAGGCCCATATACTCCCCAGCGAATTCCTGTAACTCTCCGGTACTCCGATAAATATCCGAATCACTCGAAACCTTTCCGACGTCCGAATATAGTCGTCCAATATATCGATCTTTACGTCTCGACCATTTCGAGACTCCTCGTCATGTCCCCGATCTCATCCGGGACTCCGAACTACCTTCGGTACGTCAAAACACATAAACTCATAATACCAATCGTCACCGAACGTTAAGCATGCGGACCCTATGGGTTCGAGAACTATGTAGACATGACCGAGACTCGTCTCCGGTCAATAACCAATAACGAAACCTGGATGCTCATATTGGCTCCCATATATTCTGCGAAGATCTTTATCGGTCAAACAGCATAACAACATACGTTGTTCCCTTTGTCATCAGTATGTTAATTGCCCGAGATTCGATCGTCGGTATCCAATATTGTAGGACATTGAAGTACGTCTAGAGGGGGTGATTAGACTACTTGACCAATTAAAAACTTAACCTTTTCCCAATTTTAGAGTTTGGCAGATTTTAGCTATCTTATGACAAGTCAAGCAATCATCACACAATTCAAGCAAGCATGCAAAGAGTATATGAGCAGCGGAAATTAAGCATGCAACTTGGTAGAATGTAAAGGGAAGGGTTTGGAGGATTCAAACGCAATTGGAGACATGGATGTTTTTGGCGTGGTTTTGATAGGTGGTGCTATCGTACATCCACGTTGATGGAGACTTCAACTCACGAAGGGTAACGGTTGCGTGAGTCCACGGAGGGCTCCACCCACGAAGGGTCCACGAAGAAGCAACCTTGTCTATCC